CGGAGCGAACCCCCCACCGCTCGGGGCCGGGGGCGCCGGCTGTCACAGCTGTCACAGGCCCAGCTGCAGGTCCCCTTCGGTGGCTCCTGGGGGACCCCTGATGGGCCAGTGTCACCTCCCATCCAGGAGCCACTTAGAGAGTCCTCTACTTGCCAGCTCTCCAGCGTATCGCAGAGCTTGTGGCCCGGCCAAATGAGGAGTTTGGTATGCAGCTCAGACGTACCATCTCAATATTTCCCTGCTGCTGATTTAGCTGTTGGATTTTATTTCTGCCAAATGATTAACGGCTTCGGGAATTGTTGCTATTTCATGAGATACAGGTTTAAATATTTGTCAAACGCAAGCTCTTTGTTTAGACTGTACCATTTGAACAGAGGATATATTAATATTGCTGACTTAAAGTTCAGAGCTCTTTATAATTATCTGTCTTGTTTTCAAAAAATGCATTCTGTGAAATTACTGTCTTAGCAAAAAAGAATTTCTGCCCGTTTCTATTTTTTACAATGTTTGTATAGGAGCAAGGGGGAGATGTTGAAAACTCAGAATATTTTCAATATTTTTTTTTTTAAATAAAAACTTTGTTCTATAGCATGCATGTCAAGTTCTACCCTCTGTATAGAACATTGAAAATGATTAGAAACAAGAGGGGAAAATGACTTAATTCTCCTTCCTTTTTCTTTTTCTTAGGCATAATGAATTCTTGCAAACCTTTCCTTCCTTTCTTCCTCTCCTTGTCTCTGCCTCCCCTTCAGACTGTATGCCTCTATTCTGTCTTGATTGATACCTGAGCAAGTGAGAAGTGGTTCTAATGAACTGTTAAGCATTTAGCAGTGTGGAGTACAGTGTAAAAAGATGATGCAGATCCCGAAATGCAGGCAGATGCACACAAGTGGCTAAGGCTGAATGTGCATCGTTAACTTCGGGTTTCCTTGGGTGTTATTTAGTGCTTCCCCATGCAATTGTAGCTTTCCAAACACATTTTGCTGGAAACGCAACAGACAAAAGGGGGTTGTGAAATGAAGTTTTGTGAGCAATATATGTTTAGGGCTTGAGAGAGATGGGGTATTTGGCCTAAAATTCCGTTTTGGCAGCTTTTCGGTGTGCTATATGCATGGGTTTTGTTTTGTTCCTTTTGCACTGTGGGCTTCAAGACTCTAACCAATTAATTCTGGAAAAAAGCTTAATGTAGGCTACTCCTCAAGAAGGGGTCTATTTTAACATTCAGTAAACAGATAATCCATTAGGACAACAATATACATTGTGGCAAGTGCTATCCTAGTTTTTTTTTGTCAGCGCTTATTTATAGTCTTTTGATTTCACTTCCCTCCTGTGGTGCAGTTTCAATCATTCTCCCTCCAATCTTTGTTCTCGTATTCATTGCAAGCTGAAAACAAAGTAAGAAAGAAGCTCATACGTAGCGTTCTATTCTTGGCCAGTTCTTCCTCTATAGCAAGAAGGCGGTTGTATTTGGTCACTCTTTCTCCGCGGGAAAGACCTCCCAACTTGATAAACCTGGCACCCAGTCCAACAGCCTTAAATGAGAAAGTGCATATTTTAAAACTCTACGGTTCTAAAGTGAAGTTATTCTTAATTATTAAACATGGTATCCTACTTCTAATTTAACACTCTTATCTTTCTAGAGATAAAAACCCTCCTTTAAATAGAAATAAAATCTCTTAATGAAAGATTTGTTGGAGGCAAACAATAATTTTCACTGGCGGAAGAAATGAGATTTTATTTGCAAATGTAGCTTTAATACAAAAAGACTAAATATACTAGTGTTAAAAATTTTTGCCTAAAATATTATTACTACTTAGAAATGTTTTAAGTAACTCACATTTTTTTATAAACTAATGCAACCAAATAGATCATACATACTTTTGAATATACTCCCTGCTTTGGCAAATTTCCTGTGTGTTCTCTTTAAACTCAAAGATTAACTCTCTGTGGGGAAAAAAAAGCAACTCTCTAGAAAAAGCCCATTTTGTAAAATGTTGTTTCTTTCTCAAGCAGAAGCAGGCTTTCTCCTTAAAAAATAGTTCATGTTAAAAGCAGTGTTTTGGCAATTCTGCAATTGAACAGCTTTCAATCCTTACCAGATCCACAATGCTATCATCAGAAGATTCTCCATCTGGACTTCCTAATATGGTAATATGTCTTTGACCTATATATAACAGGAGTGTAAAACCT